CTGGTACCTCTCGGTTGTTTTATTCGAGGAGCGGGCAGGTTTTTCTGTGCGGAAACTGGGTCAGTGAGAGCAATGAGAATTCCTCAAGTAAGCCTCGACATTTAAGGGCGAGAAGTTGTTTACATGGAAGGACAGGAAGGAACCATTAGAGGAGAGAGTTGGTGTTGCTTGTTTCGGGAAAATACCAAGACACACTGACACCATAATAAGCAGCAGTTGAATGTCGTGACTTACGCTTCAATAGTTCACCGATAAACTGAGGTTAGAATCATCGTCACTCATGTGTATGTTTTTCATAAAACTTTCCTTCCTTAGTTCTGATTCTGTGTAATAACATTCACTGCACTCAGTGTTAGATTGCACAATGTTTACTTCGCCATCATTGTCTGATGCTGTAATCTTAATACACAACGTTTTAAGTGAATGAAGTGCTGTTCCCCCACCCCACCCCCGCCCCTCTTTGCAGCTAATGATTCAATGCAAAAACCGCTCACTAACTTCTGTCCAGATCCTAGTTACTTGTAGTTGCGCTCTGTTAAGCGTTCAATAAATCCAGTTACCAAACCAAACCCCGTCTATAGTCACTCATACACGTGACAATATATGCGTATAGCTGAACAGTATGAGAAAAATTATAAGCTTAAAACGTGAAGGTTAGTAAACGTAAAGATAAGCATGTCAGGGTGCTGCAGGCACCATGCGTTGCGATTAAAAAAGTAAAAAATGTAAAGCTATCCCTGTAACAGGCCGTGGAGGCCCATGGGGTTGTGAGATGTTGAGGTTTCCACATTTTATAGACAATCTTCACATAGATGGCCGTAAGGTCGTCAGCCTTACGCGCCGGCCGCACTTTACCCCCAAGAATATTCCTGGTACTCATTTCTGTTAGAGGCTCAGTCGACCCCAGGGCCACAGTGCGGCTGGAATGATTAGGTCAGTTGAAAAAATCGAATGACCTCATCGGGACTTGAACCCGCGACCTTCCGGCTTGTAGCATAGTGCCTCAACCAACTACACTACCACGAACAAATACAATTACGAAATTACAATTTAGTACTAAAAAATCTGATGTCCTCTTCATGGCAGTATAACCATTACGTGTTTAATGCAGGAAATGTTATTACTAAAATTTAGAAATAGTTAAAACCTTTAGCTTTGCTGTCAACAGCGCATTGCTTGTGCAGAAGAGACTTCACTTTCGTTAATCTTTAAACTAAACACAGTTTCAGCTGGTCAGTTTTAATGCTGTTGAGAACAGGCATTTGAGTAATATGAATATTATTTGGCCCCCAAAATTTTCATTCATTTTTCCCCTTTAACAAGTATCTACATCTAACTTTGTCTCATGTTCTGAGAGATCACGTGGGCCACATTCAGCCCCGACCGTACTGCTAGCTCACTGCAGGGAACAAGCGCAGATTCCGCCTGCCCTTGACCCGGGTACTTTCCCTTACTTGAGGCATAGCGTAAGGTCCCTACAGGCGACAGCTCAAGCACACGGTGAATGAAATATAAGGGTACGGATATCGGGGAATAATTTATGCTGTTCAATAAACTTGTCAAAAGTCACACGGCTATTGGCGCATTATATGTTTTGACTGCGTGCCAAGAACCGAACGTCGAAGGACAAAACAAACTTGTTCTTAGAAAAATCTCACTCCCCTTTCTCCATATGAGTGTGTGTACGTATTTTGAAATAATGCCTGAAAGCCGGAATAGTGGAACAAGAGTAGGTGTGTAATTACAGTCAGACTCTTAACACCCGTTACCAGGAAACGGCTGATGAAGGCACTGTAGGCTGGAGAAGACTTAGCGTGCAGTGATTTGTGAAGTGCCGAGGTTAACGATAGCAGTATAATTAATTCCTGAAGTTTTCTCAAATCAAATTCTTATGACGTGAAGTAGGCTTGTTGCTGAAGTATTCTCTCGCCCAACTCTCGAAATATTCAGCCTCTGACAAGAACAGATCACACAGGCTCTGATAATTTTCATCCAACGCTAATGTTGGACATAATGTTAAAGTCAAATTTGGCTTGTGTCATTTAACGTTAATAATTATAATGATGGCGATGACGATAATAATAATAATATCAGCAATAGCAATATATTATTATTATATCTGGTTTCGATTGTGGTAGGAACAGGAATTTCTCTCTTCGACATTAAGTCAAAATATTATCCTATCCAGTGGGCACCATGAGTTTTTCTCGGGGTAAAGTGGCGGAGGATTAGTGAAGCCGACCAATCAATCGCCTCCATCTTGTACCAAGCCTAACGCGTGGAGCTTCACCTTCATTTCATAATGCCTTTATGATAAGGTGGGTTGAGTAAATGTACGCGTTTGTTGTGAATGTCTGTAGCTTATTCATCTAGGCTGTCAGGTCTCTGTGTACTTAGCATGGAATAACAGGATGCTAAGTAAATAATGAAGTGGAAAGAACTTTGAAAGTATCGGTCGTGGCATAATTTAAGTTACTATTCCTGCCCCGGTTTTGTTGTTGCTGGTGGTCTTCTTATTATTATTTCTCACATTTAAATAAAGTAAACAAATGTAACGGTATCATGTACTCTTATCTGCAACTATTATTGGACTATAAACTCCGTGGCTTTAATCGGCAAGCGAACTATACCGACCGAGAGACTGCCGCTTGTCAGCGAAATTAGTGCCAACTTTAGCGGATAGAGGGTGTCGCGCGGTCATCGCAACGAATCCCCACGGCCGTTAGTTTCGGTTTCCTAGACCGGAGCCGCTATTTCCTTGAAATAGCTCCTCAGTTATCCTCACGAGGCTCATTGGACCCCGTTCCAGACCCGCTACTTCTCAGAAAATCTGGTAGCGCAAGGAATCGAACCCGGGAGCTCTGGATCTGTAGCCAGGAACTCTCACCACTAGAAAGCAGAGGGGTGTATAATAATAATAATTCCTTATTTATATGCCAAGTCAGTGTCTACAAGGCCAGTTACAGGAACAGCACAAAGTGCTAATACTGTAATTAGTACCACTCGAGGTTCGGATGAAGATCTGCCAGGTTTGGGACGTCATGAGGAACACTTCCTTGGCTCCAGGTCGTTGCAGCATTTCTTTTTATAATTGCAGAACATATCATAGTACTGTGATGGAATAGCTTGCAGGTAAACCCCAATTTACGGGTCTTTAATTTCCGAAACTTCTTCTATATTCGGATTTCATTCATAGAATTTTTCCCATTTACACGGCGTGTCTCCGCATATACGCTGTTCGACTACTAACTTACGCCCTACTCCAACTGCATTATGAAAAACAACAAAGTTACAACGTTGCTGCATTGCTGATACCTTCTCACGCTGATCCTTCACTCGCGGATTTTTATGCCTTGAAGATGGAGGCGATACGTTCCTCCGAACCGTCGGTTAACACAATATCTACACTGCGCAACATCCCAGAAGACGGCGTTCTTCTTTGGAGTGCTAACGCTGTTAACATGGATTTACTTTACTCCAAACAAACATCTCACCTGTCTAATATTGACTGCATAAACAGAACTACACGATAAGTCCCTGTCGTTATAGATACCAGAAAAACAAGCTTCGAAGCTCGTCCTCAACCTTGAATTGCATGAAACCATTTACTGTGCTATTATAATGTATGTGGAGCAATCAATATTTTTATCGTACTTTCCTTATTAAAAAAAATAAAAGTAGGCTTATGAGATCAACATTCTGTCTGTGCGACTGTGTATCCTCCCTATTAACTTTTGAACGCTTGAACCAATCTTTATGAAACTTAGCACGTACATTATGACACCTGAGCCTATCTCAACGGAATGCTTCATAAATCCCTCTTATCTGTGTCTGTATGTGAATCCTCTTGTCGTTGATAGGCAACGGCTGGGTAAAAAAAGGTTACCGCGGCATCGAATACACACGCAACAATAGAGGAAATAATGGACGCGTCGTTTTGTATGCGAGCCGTGTCGTATCAAGGGAGAGCAGGAGTTTTAACACTTCCCGGAAAGTCTTGTTTCAATTAATGTGGAAGAAACCGCCCTTTTCTCCTCCGGGAAATTCTTAAAATAAACAGTTTATTTATTATGTCACTCTTGTAAGTATGTGTTTCTGTTCAGCGGTGTTTTTATAAGTTAGAGCCTTCGTGACTCATAGTTTTTGCCTGATGTATTAAACAGTTTCTAGGTAAAGAAACAGCAACAGACTTACGTCGCTTTTGCACTTAAGTGTATGTTACGGTCCCGGAGTAACCAGACCAGGGATAGTTCTACCTTAACCATTCCGGCTTTCTGGCGACACGTCACAATACTATTATAACAATAAAAACCAGAACATGTTTAAAACATTTGAAACACCAACAATTAATATATATGTATAATCGCGAATTAAAATTTACCTTTTCTTTTACTTGACATTTTAAATTCTTTATCATCCAGATATAACAGCATGGGTTTGAAAATCAGACAGAACATAACACCAGACCCTGACATATGAGAACGACGACAGGTAGCATCAGATTGGTGCAACGACCGCGTGGGCTGACTGAGCGAATGGAGACACGAGACCGCGTTCTTTGCTTGCTATTCGGCTAACAGGCAATTCGGATAATCTCCCCTCTGCCACGGCTCTGTACAGTGATCGACTGATGCACTGAGCGGTTGCTAAGCAATAAGACAGAAGCGAACATGCAGTTCATGCTTAGGCAAGCCTGTTGGGAAAGTATATTGTTGTACACAGAGCAACTCGCGATGAGACCACGGCCCACTCCGTGCGTCATCAAGCGATTTCCCCGCCACTTTACACAAAGATATGACAAAGCCATTATCAATATGAATACAGTACTATGTGGGTGTAATTCGAGTTCTCCGTTTCTTTACGCAACCTTTCATATTTGTTTGTAACCTCTCCCCCAGACATATTGGGGCGGTGCTTGTGTTCCAACCCCGCACCGGTCGTTGTGAAGTTTCCTCTCGGTCTGCACTGCGCCTGCGGAGACTTAGCCGCATATGATATAAACCCGGCGCCCGGTCCACAGACACCACGTAGCCACTCGACGCTGACTAGGACGACACGACACCTGTTGGAACACCATGAGGACGTACCTTTTAGTTCTGGCTTGCGCTCTTCTGCTTCTCGGGCAATTTGTTTTGCCAACAGCAGCTGGTCCGTATCTGGAAGAAGGTGGTGAGTGTTTGAATTCTTTCTAAGTTTGCTACTAATCGCAAGACACGTATATTAAAGGTCTTAAAAATTACTCAGATTTCTAGACTTCGAAATCTTAAGCGGTTTTGTATGGTAGTGAGTTCTGACAGAATTATCCTGATACTGGCTGCAGTTGTTTCTTTATTCCCGTCAACTCACACTCGTTCATTGCCAACATAACTGAGTATATTTTTGATTAGAACAGTAAATGACAAGTAATTTAAAGTTTCATATTTAATGGCTTATCGACTGAATGAAATAATTTGTTCAGATAAGTTAAGGAGATTCGTTAAAGAAATATGTAATTAACTCTATGTTCTGAGAACAACTATGAAATTCATAAATACGATACTTTCCAAAGTGAACAAGTCGATGTGAGGCAAGGCCTAACGCCACACAAAGTGTAAGACTGCATAACTTTCCAACTGGAACGCGAAGCACGTCATCAGGGGAAGTACCTGGATGGTACATCGTTTAGGTCACGACCGCTTCCTTCCAGATCCTCTCCAGCAGCACAGAATCTAGAAACGTGTAGCACCGTAAGATAAGTCACAGAAAATTACGAAGTGCAAAAATATTATTCAAACTCAATTAAATAGTGTCTTTCTTAGAAAGCTGATGGCCGTTTCATTTTACAAATATTGTTTTTGAGTTTATCGCCGTCGTAACGGTGAACCAGAGATTAACAGATAAGGGTAATTTAATACGTGTGAAGGTTCACTAAAACGTTCATAAAATTATGGGTAAGCCTGTAAAATAACATGAAAAAGTGTCAGATTTCATGTTTAATATCAAATTAAGTATAATCTCCTGATGTATATGAACCTGGACAGCGTAGTCGGTATAGCGACTGAGGGGTCGGAGTTCGAGTATCGGTAGGGTCAAGAATTTTGTCTTCCTCACGTCGTCCAGACCGGCTCTGGGGTCCACCTCGCCTCCTATTCAATGGGTACCGTGAGCACTTTCCCCAGGAAATAAAGGCAGGTGGTGAAGCTGACCACTCACCTCCAGCTAGGGCCGGGGTCAAGAAAATGTGGGTCTATACATCCACTCCCCCATACACCTTCATGGCACAGTGCTTAATTCATTGAACACAGGGACGACCTTACCTTCACCTACATATTCCCCTCCTCTTTTGGGGTGGGGTGACACTGAGTCCACTTGGTACGTCGGCCACTCTTTGGCCTATTGTACCTGCCCCGGACGATAGATGATGAATGTGGAGCAGTTCGTGGAATGAGAATTGGCAGGGGAAACCGAAATACTCGGAGAAAACCTACCCCAGTGCCACTATGTCGACCACAAATCTCACATGACCTGACCTGGGCTCGCACCTGGGCCGTCGCGGTGGGAAGCCGGCGATTAACTGCTTGAGCTACGGCAAGGCAGAGTCCCCTCCTTAATATTTCCTTTATTACTACCTACATTTGTCTCGTTTTGTGTTGTTACTTTAGATAAGATGTCAACCACATAAGACACTGAACTTTTTTACTCATTCCTCGCAATTTTGAAGTTTAAGTCGTGAAAGATGCACTTTACAGCACTGACCGAAACGATCTGTCACTATATCAGCCGTGGTTTCTTTCCAACAGGTCTGAAACGTTTGTTTAATAAGCTATCGCACCTTAACATCTAAGTCTGTATTAAGGTTATTTTACGAGTATTTAGAAGTCTGAAATAGCTTAAGAAATACTATGAAGCCGTTTTACTGTCCATTTAATCATCTTCTCTCCATGTTAACAGTACGTAAACGGTTGCGAAATGAACTGGATTTAGTACGCTTCAAAGTATAAGATTTTCTATTACGAAACGGATGTTGGAAAATATATGGAAGGCTAACGGCCTAGAATTGCATCACTTAAATGAAGCTTCATTACTTGGAGACGGTGAAGTCAGAAATTCATCATTCATGTCTGCGGAAATTTTAATTTAATTCATTTTCGCAATATCGGTACCCCAGCACCAAGTTACGGGGACCTCATCGCAAATTGAAATAACGATCAATCGTAAACAGCGTATATTTTTTACAAGCAATTTTCTAAGATTTATTTCATCTCACGAGTGTACGTGTACGTGTAATCTTCTGAGATAACGGTAGCTTGTAAGCAAATTTCAGGAATGTACTTTGATTGGGCCACTGGCTTCCAAATCTTTTTCATCATTCATCTACCACACTCCCATTTGACGCCGTACAGTTTAGCCAACGTGCACGTCGTTAAATAACCATACAAGATGTTCACAGCCGTGAGAACCTCAGATGTCACATTTATTTCATAATTTGGTGTAATCTCACTAGTTGAAATTGAATAACAGAGTTTCAATGAAATATGACAGTGTACTATATTTGTAAATTAACTGATTCTTACGTCATTTCACGACGCTTTTTCTTCACCGGTTTTGTTACAGTCTAATGGAACTGAAGAATTATTAGGAATGGTGAACAGATAAGAGATTGGAAGAAGTCTGCTTGGACCTAACTGAATATATTACTCCAGTATCTGTGTGGTATGACTGAGGAAAAATCACAACAATTTCTATCAGGATAGAAGTCATGCAAGGAAATTTTAACTGAGAAACTTTATGAGAAGTCAGTAAATTTTACAGAAATAAGCTCCATACGGTTCCTTTTTACGTCTGTTTATCAGCATCGAAGCTATACAGCTTCTATATTAGGATGATCAATTAATGTGGAGCAGTCAATAGAATGCGGAAACCGAAGTACTTGGTCTAAATATACTCCAGTGCCATTTTTTCCACCAAATATTCCACATGATCTGACTTCAGGATTTTTCGAAGTGTTACAATTTGGGGGGGGGGCAATTTCTCCGGTATTCCGTGGAAAAAGAAATTGTGATACGGGCTTTAATATCCTCATATTACTCTGTAATTTCTTTGGGTGCGGTGATTGCAGCTGTTGAGAAACGCCTCATAAACGGTTGATAATTTTACGTCACATCGACGAGACTTCTGAAAGGACCAAGAGCGGCCGCCACCGTACTTTGCAGTTGACAGACATGTTGTGAAAGTCACACACTTCTGTGACGTGGTGTAGTCTGGCAGGTTGTTACTGATGTTCCTTCCCGCTTCTTACCTGAAGAGGGAGGCAACACGTTCTACCGAAACATCAGTGAAGATTTACCAGTCTATACACGTCTCATCCCAGCAGACAGCGATCTCCATCTCCGGCGCCGCAAGAACGTCGAATCTCGGATGTTATTCTCCCATATCTGTTGTCCGTTGAGAGGAAACAGCTGTGATTTTGTCCGGGCCCCAAATTTATAATTTTAACGCTTAATGTAGCGTCGAATTTGCGTGTGGTGACAGAATTATTGGCGGGCTTTGTCAGTGAAGAAGCTTAAAACAGTTAATTAAAGTTAATGATTACTCTAGAAGTTCAGATTTTAACTTAATATTTCTTAGCGCAAATTAGAAAACTTGTGAAATTTGAGTTTCTCACGGTGGTGACTGTAAAGAATATTCGTTTCTGGAATGTGCTGCCGTGTAATCTAGTGGAAGTTTGCCGACGTTTAGGAAGGGAATACTGACTCCTTCTTCATTGTAGAAATAGAAAATTTGTTTCTTCCTCATGATTCATTCCGAATTTATGTTCTTGCTTGCAGAAGCACTTGTGATATAATAAGATTATTTACAAAAATAATGGCCATGAATTCAGTAAAAGTAAAAAGTAAAGCTATCTCTGTAAAAGGCCGTGGACGCCCATAGGGTTGTGAGATGTTGAGGTTCCCACATTTTCTAGACAATCGGCTCATAGATGGCGGCTAGGTTTTCAGCCTTACGCGCCGGCCGCCCTTTACCCCTAACAACATTCCAAGAATATTCCTGGTACTTATTTCTGTTAGAGGCTGAGTCGACCCCAGGGCCATATTGAGGCTGGAAGGATTAGGTCAATTGAAAAAATCCAATGAAGTCAGCGCGACCTTCCAGCTTGTAGCATAGTGCCTCAACCAACTACGCTACCGCGGGCCCCCCACATGAATTCAGTAATTAGTTTAAAACTCATCATAATGAACAGAAAATGGCACATTTATCCTGCACCTCTTTTTTAATGTGAAATAAATAATTTGCAACATAAATGTCTGTATAAAAGTAATTCCTCCTATCTAGCAGTATGTCTATTTTTATTCAAGAGAGTTAACTGAATATTCGTCAGTTTGCTGCTGTTGAAAACTGTTACTCATCTTAAACGGCAATTCGTTAACCAGCGGTTTATATGCATCTATAAATGGAATACAGAGGCGTAACGTCTGTCAGTGCGTTAAATAAGCGAATGAAGTGCAGCCGACGTCCATTGTCATGAATCGACTCCCAGACCGTCTCAAATTTCCACTAAATGCAGTGTTACTGATCTGTACATTAAAGCTAACAGGACAACTTAAGTTGCATCGTTTCATTAAAACAAAATCCCTTTGAAAATTACAACACATTATAGAAAATGCTTGGCTATAGGCCTATATGGAAATTTGTCATCATAATCATCATCATCTTGTCAGGTATAAGGACATGTAGCCTGTGAAAGTTTCACGCCAAGCGCTATATCATCACCAAATATAAAATCTTAATAATCCTTATGTTTTAATTTTTAATGATTTTAATTTCTGAGCAATATCATAAACGACGTGAGTGGTATTTAGAATGAGAAAGTTAACGGAGTACAGTTAATTACAACGTGAGGAGTAGGAAAATCTTCCCAAATCTCTCTCCTTCCTTGCCTGAAACCTGTTTTGGACAATCGTTTTGACCTGTAGCATTTTAAAATCTTCTTACATTTCTTATATTTGCAGGAATATGGGGAACAAACGTATTCTTCAATGCTGTATCTCGACTGTAGATGCGGGTTCTTAGAAGTTTGGTGCATTCAAAACCAAGACATAGATTGCAGAACAATAAAAGATCAGACAGTGAGGAACAGTCCACGAAAATGTAATTATCATGTTTCTGGGCATTATCCATCGTTTTCACAAGATGAAACCTACTCAGTTGTTCCCAATTGATAGAGCTAGTCCCTACCTCCTCTTTCAATTGGGCTCAACTGAGTATGTTTTACCTGAAGACGGAGACAGAATCCAGTCCCCGAAACGTCGTGTTTTAAATAAACACATAAAACTCTGCGACTTTTGTGAAACCCGGAAGTTTATTACCTGCTCATAACGGACGGCTCTGGACCATATTCTGAGACAGATGAATCCAGTCCACGTTCTCAGACTTTGTTTGTTAGTTTAATAGCTCCTTTCCTTCTATTCCTAGGACTAAAAGTGGCCTCTTCCCTCCGGATATGTCCACCAGAATTATATATACATTTCTCATCCCTCAAATGTTCTACCCTTATCTTCCTAATTGATTTGTTGACGTGAATAATATTGGGAAACGGTACGTCAACAGTTAGTGAGGCACTTCAGCATGCTCTCTCCTCCAGCCGGCTGTTACTTCCCAGCTCCTAGGTCCAAACATTCTCCGCAGCACCGCGTTCTTAAACAAGCGTAATGCAGTCCTTTCTTAAATCTGTAACAAACAGGAACAAACACGGAAATAATCACTGAATAATAATACTAACTCAGCCAAGAAGAGATAGGATTTGCATTTTTATTTAGGTGTTTACATATTTCTTCTGATCTAGTTACGGACGCTGACAACAGATCAGAAAATACGTACTGTAATAATGGGATAATTACCGACTACCGAGTATATTGGTGGGAAAACAGGAAGGAAGGAACCACTGAGAAGACCAAGACGTAGGTGGGAGGACAATATTAAAATGAAGAAAGCAGTCTTCTGGGATTTGGCACCGTGTATATGTGGTGTTAACAAGCAGTCTGCTTTTACCGGTTCTCACTGTCTCTTCGCTTGCGGTTTTCTTATATTTCTCCTTCTATCCTCAAGATGGAGGCGATACGTTCCTCCGAAACGTCGGTTAACACCACATATACACGGTGCCAAATCCCAGAAGACTGCTTTCTTCATGGTCACCGCCGTGAAAGCCTCAAATCTACAATATTAAAATGGATCTGAGAGAGATAGGATGGGATGCTACGGATTGGATTGATCTGGCTCAGGATAGGAACCGCTGAAGGACTCTTGTGAACACAATAATGAACCTTCGCATTTCATAAAATGCTGGGACATCTCTTTAGTAGCTTCACAATTGGCGCCTTCTCTAAGAAGGGCTCAGCTCCATTAGTGAGTGACTACTGAGTTGCAAGGGATGCGGTTGGAGGTCAAGGCCTGTCTTGAAGTGTTATCTGGGCATATGATTGGAGGGAGTGAGAAAAGCGAAAAATTTCAAATAGGATACCCAGCTTCCAGACCGAGGTTTCAGCCCATTAGCTATCGAATAAGAAATGAGAGGTAACTATTCTCCTTGACTTGAAGTTCAGCTTTAGAACTGGTTTAACATTGTTTAAACCATTGTTCAACACATTTCACTGCAAGTTATTGTATCGATGTCATGTTTTATATGAAGTTCGTCAGAGTTTAGCTATCGGGCTGCTTTCTTGGTTTCACTGCAGACAGACACAGACTAGTACCTCGTAGTGACACGTGCAACTTCAAAGAAGATATGAACTTAATTCAAAACGCGAACACAGAACTTCAAACTTATAATGTTACGGTCTCACTCAACACGTGTTTCGAATCATTTTCTAAAAATTCTTACATTTGGCACTGAGTAACTGAACTTACTTCTCCTCCCTGGGAAGTTACTCAACTACTCAAGAAACTTCCTCTTGAGTCGGAACCCGCAGTTTCACCACTGTCACTATGATAGTCAATATCCTTATGACGTCAACATCCCTCAGGCAATTTCTGTGGTCCGAGATTATATTTTAGTTTTTAATTTTAACTTGAGGAATTAAGAAAGAGTGGAATTGGACGAAATGTTTAAGGATAAATAAAATTGCAACTTCGCTAAGAGAACATAGATTTGGGCGAAGATAAGAGTCTTCTGGGATGTTTCGTAGTAATTTTATAGCCTGTCATAAATTAACTAATGTTTCGGAGAAATCTGCTGGATCCATCTTCAGGGTAGAAAACTGAGGCAACGCGGTCTTCTGAAACGCTGGTACATTTTGTGACAAGCGGCAATTTAGCAGTTGGTCAGTCAGTCAGTCAGTCAGTCAGTCACACAGACAGACAGACAGACAGACAGACAGACAGTTGAAGTTCTAGAAGCTGCCGAGAAGAGTTGAAGTTTGCATCTGACCTTAGAAGAGTAGTCAGTCTTCAGTTCGGCAGCAAGTGTGATTGTAAGTGTAGAGGAGATTGGCCAATAAACATATTCGCCAAAATCCGAGACCTGCGTGAATTTATTTGTCGCGTTACATGGGCAACACGTGACAACATGTACCATGCCACTAAACTACTATGTGAAATCCCATAAGACATAAGTCTTCATAATGACTCTCGTGAGAAAGTTACATGTTACATTGAGTGCATTTGGGAACTGGGGCTTTCAGGAGAATATTTGCAGCTGAGAATGAGATATAGACGGAAACATGGAGAAATTTGCATAATAAAGAGATTCATAATTTGTTTTCCTCACAGAATAATATTAGGGTATAGGGTTTAGTGACAAACTTCAGAAGATTAATTCATGTAACCCGAAGTTTCATTACCACATTCCAAACAGTCCGCCACTGGACCCTAATCTTGAGCCAAAACACTGTTTCCAAATTGACATCCACGCTAGAGTGCTTGACGTCACCAGTATTAATGTAGCAAGAGGCCTGCCGGGTCCTTAGAGCCGGAACAAACACCACTGGACCCCTGTACGTAAGCACTATGCAAAATACTGTCTGAAATTGCCTACCTAAATGTGTCTCATCCCATTGAGATGAACAGCCTCCAGTGAATTTCATGTGGGAAAGCACTTTAAACAGTAGTCAAGGCTCAGTGGATGTTTTGGGGTTGTCTCGAAGGTGTTTCAGCTACACTCGGCGTCCTCACAAAATGAACACGATTTCAGTACTAAATTCACCTTGTGGAACTTATACTGATGGAATTATAAAGGAGAAGTTAGTCCAGACAAGCTCAAGAGCCCATCGAGAATTCTTTTCAATCGGTACGAGGAGCAAAGCAAAAGAGGCTTGAGGTGTGGAGCTGCACTTCCCCATACACATTCTTAGAGTGGTGCTCATTGAAGCACGCTTTCATCTTCAGGTTATTTCTACAGTCTCCTTATCAGAACATCTTATTAATGTTTGATTCTAGACGTTATCTCACGACGATGTACCAAGTACATTGACTATATAGGTGAGATTTAGAAGGTAAAGGTAAAGTTACCACAGACCTTAACTAGCTAAGCACTGAGCCATGAAGGCGTATTGTGGAATGGATGTATAGAGCCACAGTTTCTTGCCTTCGTCACTAGTTGGAGGTGAGTGGTGAGCTTCAGGCCCCAGGGAAAGAGCCCCTGATACCAGTTGGATAGGAGATCCCCAAAGCCGGTCTGGACGTCGTGGAGAAGAGAAAATTCTTGACCTTACCGGGACTGGAACTCTGACCCCTCGGTCGTCTAGCCCGCAGCCAGTCGCTATCACGGCTCCTAAGACTGAGAACGGGAACGACAATAAATTTTGAAGAGGCAATGAAGTCCAATGGGTACCGAAGGCTCTTTTCCCTGGGGTAAAGCGGCAGGGGGGTGAAGCTGACCACTCACCTCCATCTAGTGCCGAGCTGAAGAAAATGTGGATCTATAAATTCACTTTCCCATGAGCCTTCATGGCGTAGTGCCTAATTAGTTAAGAACAGGGACAACTTTACTTTATATGCTTCTATGATAGCTGGATTTCTTTTCCAAAATGCCGAGTTATTTTATAATACTTCTACTAATTTGCTCTCATAGCATAATTTTGCTTCTCCGTCCATTCTTTATCAAAGTCGATACCACACTTCTTGCTTGAGTGATTTTCCTTTCTTCTGTCTATTCTATCCCAGTCGCTCTTCGTCTTTTTCTTTCTTTATCTTTAGTGTTTTCGTGTTTTCATGTTTTTATTTGTTATTGTAATATGACTCTTTAAAAAGGCACTTAATCGCAATTAGCTGCTCTTGTTGGGACACATCGCAGTGAAACTCTGACCTGCCCACTCTGCCACTCTGTTTGCACCCTGTCCGAAGCAGCCGTAGCCACACTCAGACAAGAAGGGCGACAACTTTCACATGTTCACACATGCACTCTACACTGCTGCAGACTTTCGGTGCTGAAACATGGTTCATTACTCTAGAACTGAATATGCAAATGTTTGTTCACTGGAGCGAGATTGTCTGTGCCGTTTGTTATCGGTAATGCGCGTCGCTAATTGAACACGACGGACAGTCGTTCAATTAGAACCACGTCACGTCACAATGAGTGAAAACTGGGTATATCATTAAAATATTAATATGCATCGACAGCCTCTCATTGTCCCTGTGCACGTATCTCATTACAAAACCAGAGCCATCTATTAGAGGACACTTTAATTGAATTGGTAATCAAGATAGCTGAGTCGGTATACAGATTACGCTGTGGGCTGGACCACCAACGTATCAGGGATCGATTTTCGGCAGAGTCAGGAGAATTTACCCTTCTCCATAAGGTCCAGACCTGCCCTGAGGCCCGCCCAGACTCCTGTTCATTGAGTGTCGTACTATTGTATTCCCGAGGTTAAAGCGGCAGGGGCTTGGAGCTGACCACTCACCTCCATCTAGTGCCGAGGTCAAGAATGTTAGAGCTATACCTCCACTCCCCCCGTATGTCTTCATGCCATGGTACTTAATCAAGTTTAAGGGTAACTTTACCTTTACCGAGTTTTAGCATCCTTTAGGCCATCTTGTTTTCAAAGGGTAGTGAGCCTTATGATGTGATGTCCATGAGAATCTCTGTTCTGTTTGCTGGGCAACAACACAAATACAGTAATTAAAAACATGGAAAATAGGCCTGATGCCGGTAAGGTTGGTGCCGAAAGATGTGGGAATATGGTCATGGAAGAAGGGAGAAAAATGTGGTCCGAAACCATCTTACGCCTATGTGAAGATATTGTATATAAGAGGTTTTGTTTGAGACATGGAAGAAATTCGCGAAAACCCCCAGACTTTGATCTTCTCGAGTGCAAAGTCGTGTAGTCTTGGAGGCCGATGCCAGCGTTTCGGAGGAACATGCTGCAACTTTCTTCAAAATTTAAGTATGTAGGATGAGTAATCAGTTTTATTACGTAGGCGGATTTCGAGGAAATGGACTGACAACTTGGGTGCAACATGTCTACATAACCCAAACCACTGCTCTCTTTATACAATTCCACCCTCAACATGGTGTCAGTATCTTCCTTCAAGACGTCAATGTCCACCTACAAGACTACACGGTGTCACAACATGAAAGACCACGATCTAAACAATCACAGCCACGAAAAAATCAGAGCTTACATCGTGAAGAACCTGGCGTGACACAAGTTACTCTGGCCAACATTCGAAACAGGATCCCGAATGCAAGGCAGCGATCGTTAAGATGACGTCATCTTGCAAATTTGTATCTG